GAAAACTTCACCCCACAAATGAAATCAAAAACGCTATCACTCTCACCGAGATAGGAGAGAGCGGGACTATAATCTTAAAAACTCTACCTAAGAATAAAATTAATCTAAAATTTCAGAACTGCATATTTGAAAATTGGCCTTTCAGAATTTTTTTTTTATATTAGATGTTCCATGATCTCAGCAGTTAAATTTTATCTACAAATTTTTAATACATTGTTTTCATTAACTTAGATAAGGTAAATATATCAATTATTTTCGAACAAACTTTTTATGCGAAAACAGCTTATGAATAGAACTTGTGTAATTAAATTATGTAAACTTAAGAACCATTGCCAATTCTCTTGAAACAGGTACACATGCTGGTTAAAAATTTTGCACACTATTTCTGTGCGTTTGGTTTATTCTTGTATCACTTTATTATAATGAACATACGAAGATTATAGTCGTACTTAGTCAGTTTTTCAGCAATGGTATTTGACATTTACAGTACTAGAGATTCAATCTAAATCAATGATTCATATAAAATGTTAAGCTTTTTAAATAGGAATAATTAACATTCAATCCATTCAAGCGTTTCCAAATTTCGTACTTCGTTGGAAATTCTATTACCACATACTTAGTTTTGTAAAAATGGCACTAGGAAATTGTAAAATTCCAACCCTATATATTATTACACTAACTGTCACTGCTAGATAAAAAACTTTTCAAATTCATTACATTATATTTTAATCTGATTAATTTTAAATGCTTAAAACTACACATTAAAGTAAAATTTTCTGTGAAGTACAGGGGGGTAGAAAAGTAATTCTCATATTTTTCCATATGACGAAAATTCGGGGGTAGTTTTCTACCCCGACGCAGGCACTGAGTTTTGGATGTAGTAGATCCACATTTCATATTTTAAGGTGCAATTTCACTGCTTTCAATAATGTAAAGGTAAAAAATCATCATTTTTATTTATATTATTTTACATATTTCAAAACAAAAATCAATGCAAATTTATTATTTCATGAGTATTAAGAAGGAAAAAAAAAATATGTGATTGTGAGATAAAAGTAATGAATCTGAAAAGTTTCTGGTAATAAATATCAAGCATTTTTAACACAGTTGTGTTAAGCGGTGTTTACTTAAAAAACAAAATTGTGCAGAAGCTTCACGATACTTTAAACGGATCAAATATTGTTTCATGGCATATAAAAAATACACTTTGTCATGATGTATATTCAGATATTTCTAATAATGAGAAGGCTTTGTAACATAAGTCGCTGTTATTGGCATATCATTTGAGCTCGTTTAATACAGTTGTTATTAGGAATAAATTTCAATTTTAATTACATCGAGGCACAAGCAGTTAGTTCCTCCTCCTTTTGTAATTAGGTATTTTTTAACGTATGAATTTTCTGATTTCTTTCGTTTTTATTATTTGCTACAGACTATCTTCTTTACATAGGAATTTCCCACTTAAAAAGACTTTCTTGTTATACATCAAGGCGTTTAAGACTGCTATCAATTTTTTCTATGCAAAGATCTACGATCTAATTCAGTCTCCCCCAAAAGAAATTTAACGCTGTTAAGTAGTTCAGATTGCATGTCATCCTTACAGTAAGCGCTTTACGAAAGTGCTGTCGACTTCAGAACGATTGTTTTTTTCCTTTTTTTTTCGCCCTAATGACGATTTGTTTTATTTCGTCATCCTGTAAGTAGCTTCCGATTTGCACGAGCGCTAATTTCCGACAAGGTATGTAAAAAAAAATATATATATATATAAGAACCAAAAAGAAAATTTCACGAGCGAAGCGCGGGAATCGAAAACAAGAGGAGAAAGAATATTCCAAAAAACGCAAGGAATGTAATTGCTTCCACAAAATTGGAGACTCTGCTAATGAAATCCTCTTAGTAAATTAAAAATGGCGGAGATTTATTAGAAATATAAGTTCTTCTAAATGTTAATACGTTTAAGTAGTTTCAGTTTTCTTTGACAATCTGTAAGAGCTAAATGAAGTCTAGGGTCATATCTGTAATCGGACTAACGATGGCTGATGTTCTTTGAAAATCGATTCTTTGAAGTTTAAATTTAATAAAATAACCAAGCATTCGCTCCGTTTCTACGGAGGTTACAATTAAAGAAAATGTATAATCGACAGAAGAGGAGGATCGGACGGAGGACTTGAGTGCCGTTGTGTGGAAAAAATGAATAGCCATGTACTGTAGTCAGCAAATAAAATAATTTTCATCATATGAGAGGGTTACCAGATTAAAATTATAATCAGAACTTCAACAATTATAATAAAAAGGCCATAAAAAAACGAACGGATTTAAATATAATTTTCATACTATCATGCACTAGAATCTCCAGATCTGTGAGAGGTAATCTCTGTCCACTGAAATGAGTAGGATTTGCGGCATGAGTCGTGACAGATAAGTCTTTTGTCATTTATGAAGGTGTAATGAAATCTTTAAAGCGTTTATTTTTAAGTTTTAACTTAACCCAGGCTCTCATTTAACAGCTCATAAATGTCAAATATCCATAATTAGTAACTGAGACTACTGCATTACTAGCTAGTTCTATTAAACAACTAAAGGCAGTTTAGAAAAAAGTAGTAGACTTTGTGTATAAAGAACAACCTAATATTGCCTCTTGTCTAGTAACTTTAAATAGTAATAGTGATTACTCTACAAAAAGCCGATTAGTGTGAATGACATTTCATCGTTTTTTAATACGATCACGAATTACAAGGTTAAATTTCAAGATGTACAGACGAAACTGGATTCTGAAGCTTAGTTTCTTTGCTGTTATTATTACCCCCCCCCAAAAAAAATCAGAAAGTTTGAAATTTGAATTTTTTTTAACCACAGGAAAACTCACTGTTTTTTTACTGTGTTAATTTCAGTGCTAACGTCCGTGCATGACACTCCTCAAATTATTTTTAAAAGTGAGAAATGAGCTGTTTTGCATTACTAATCTGAATATGTTTATACAAGACAATTTGTTTATGCTCATATCAGTTACACATCAAGAGGTGACATTGAAGGAGGCATATTGCAACAGTAAAAAACGATTGTTTTTTTTAACTTTCATTGAAACTTTTTTAACATTTTAGAGTTTGATGTAGTTCTTCGAAATAATGAGCACTTACATTATATAATATGGTAGTATATAATATGGTAGTATGCAATTCTTATTTTAAAAATTAAATTGCATTTTAACAAACTGCCCTAATGATTCTCTTACAATAATAACGACCAATATCACATAAAGATCTATGTAACGTTCACATGCTTCTTGAAAGAGCGAAGAAACTTAACTTTTCTGGAATTCATCAATCATTAAATCATCTGAATTGAGGCCTTCCAAAATGTGAACGTATAAAAGGAGGACCAGGATTAATTGTTCGTACTGAGCAGTTATTAGGACAGAAAATACACGTAGTAACTAGAAGTCATTTCGAGTAATAAGCTTTTCTAATTTAACTTCTTAAAAGTAGAAGCATTTATTTATTATTTAAAAGTATTTATCACGGTAAAAACAAAATTATTAAATTTTGGCAATTCGATTAATTTTAGTGAAGTTTTGGTTTGGTCTGGAAGTACAATTCAGTGAAACTGTGTATGCTTCTTATAATATTTATAAAAAAACTTAACTGTAAAGCTCATTTAAATTTATGCATTCAAATGTAATTAGTTTAAGGTCTACTGTAGCCTTTTTGAATTCATTATCTAGATCACCACTAAAGTCAGTCTATTCTACAGTAGTGAATCGTATGGTTTCTGCAGCAGTGAATCGCAGTGAATCGTATGGTAACAGGACAAAACCATTTTGAAAGGTGAGGCGACAAGTTTTGGTACTATCGAGCAAAAAAGGGATCTAAACTGAGATGGATTGTGAAATATTATTTTTTCCTTTGTACTCTTGTTAAATACTTCAAGATCGAGTACCTTGTTCTTATGTATGTCTGCAACATTAGAGATAAAGTCCTGCTTATTCATGCGAATTAATATTACGCGCACGAAAGAAAGAATTGAGTTACTGAAGAAATACAGAATAACAAAGCTTTTACAGTCTAATAACAATGGGACTTGCTTAATAATTTTTAAATAAAAGTTCGGTAACTATATAATATTCAATAACACTCAGCGTGGTTCCTTTCAGTAAAAATCTCACATCAATCTATTATAATAAGTCATTGCACTCTGCAGCAGTGAATCGTATGGTTTTCCTGTTAACATTTTCAAACATTTTTTATAAAACGAGTATTTTACTAAATTTGAAATTATGAACATTTAATGAGGAAAAGTATAAATTAAATTTTCTGTTCCTCTATAGAAGAACTTGAGGGCTAAAGTGGAAATGTTGCATTATTTTCGAAGAAATGTGGGAGGAAGTGGGAATCTGTCTCAACAAATTTGTAGTTCATTTACATAATATTTTTCGCATATGCATAGCTAATAACAACAGATTCTTCATATCACCTTAAACAATTATTTAGAAGATAGGATTTAGAGGTTAGAACTAAAAGATGAAATTTAAATTTAGTAATGCAACTGAAATCTGATATTTAAGTAAATTAAGTACGAGAAAGTTTTTTTTTTTTTTTTTTTTTTTTTTTTTTTTTCCAGCAATTAAAAAGAACAGTTAAATTACTGATGTTACCTTCATATTAGGGCGAACTTCATATTAAGCCAAACTCATTAACTGAATTTTCTAGGAAGACGAGATATGTTAGTCATACTGTAGAAAATAAAATGTTTTTTCATTATAATTTTACCAGGAATATGTATTTAATTAATTATATGTATTGACTGATACATTTAGGAAATAAAATGAAAGAACGTTGAATAAGTATTATTAGTCACAGAGGCAGTGAAAACATAAACTATCAATCATACTAGGCACATTCCCTGATGGCGCAATAAAGAAATAATTAAACACAATTTTATTTTTGAATAGCAAAACGTTAATCATTTATGTCATTGTTTATTGGTTGCTTAGTTACCTGATTATGATAACGCAAGGTACTGATATGAAGCCGTTATATTAACTGCATATTTTACATATTATTTAAAGTTAGCTAGCTTAGCAGTATCACAGTGTGTTAAATAACGAAGAAATCTTAAGTCACTCTGGTACAAAATTATTCAAGCTGTATATTCAGTCGAAAAGAGACTCGTTGATTTGAAATGTATGTCACCGTTGGCAATAGCAGATATTCGTTGGGGTTAAATGCGGCCTGAGCATTTTTTTCCTGAGATAGATTCGTCTCTTCGCATTTTTTCAACCCCCCTCCCCGGAATGAATCGAATGTTGAAAGTTTGTCATTTATCATTCCTAACTAAAGGGAGGGGAAGCAGATATATAATGATATAATATTAATGCATCATTAAAATGCATGAATGCTATAATAATAATAATAATAAATATTGGTAAATTCTCATTTACTAAATTAGAAAAATTCACAAATTAAAAATTAAAATTCACATGCACTTTTTAAATAATTCTTTACAACTGTCCTGTCCTTATTTAAAGTTGACCAAAACGCCGACAAAGGACGGTCGTTGTTCTTTAATTTTATAACTACGTATATTACGCACGGGGGATTACTTATTTTTCTATTTGAAATGGTTTAGGAGGTATGTTTGCGATTGGCAAAAGCTCCTTAATGGTTTTTGAATAGTTATATTAATCATAATGGAATCACGTGATCAATTAAAAATTGTCAGCTGTGTAAATTTTGTATTCAAGCGTGAATAAAACGTTTTAGCCCGAGCCACACTAATCTGATCAAAATTTATATATGAGTGAATAAAACTATTTTAGCCTTGGCAACACAAGATTTAGGTAGAATAGAATAATTTAAGCATCAAATAGACTATTTTAGCTTGGGCGGCACAAGATATAGAATTTGAATGAAGTTAGTATTCAGTAACAGTTTAGGCTACAAAAAGAGTTATCAGTTAATGTTTTTTAAATAAAAATATGCAAAATATAAGAAAATTAAGTATGAAAATATCAAATAATTTGTTTGGGTATTTCATGTCTTATAAACCCCAGATTCAGTGCCTAACAGCATATTTCTGATATGGAGACTTGTAAAGTGTGACGGAGAAAGTACACTCGAATTACTTTTCAACTTATCACGCCATATTGCGAAGTATGGCCTTCAAACTTTAATAAATAAAAACGAAATTTTATGTAATTATTATTATATTATCTTGCAGGGTTAAGAATAATTAACGGTACTCACAGACAATTCTTTTAACTTTTCAAATTTTTTATTGCATTTCCTGTTTCTTAAAACTATAATTTAATAGTACACCTTATAAAAAGAAGAATTGCTTGTTTCGAAATAACGAATTCGTTTTGCATTTATATATATTTTGAAACCTTCGAAAATTCTTTACATGTTCCTGAGAAAATGAATTATTCAAGTAAATAGAAATGCAGAGAAACATGCAAGTCAACAGATTTTGCAATTATGAAAGTTTCAAATATCTCAAAAAAAAAAAAAAAAAAAAAAAAAAAAAAAAAAAAAAAAAAAAAAAAAAAAAAAAAAAAAAAAAAAAAAAAAAAAAAATCAGTGCTACCACATTGAAATATTCAGTTATTAAAATTGTATTAGTCAAACACTTTTTAATTAATATCTTTTCTCCCCCCTTATCTATTTGCTCCTAATGATTTAATCTTGAAATGTCACATTTAAAAAAGCAAATACTTGTATAAGATTTTGATTTGATTTGGTTTTAGTTTATAATGGCAACGTACACTAGGGCTACGTGCCTAAGGGGAGGGATGTCTTTGTAGAGGACTTTCTAGGAGGAACTGGCTCGTGTACGCGCTGCACATGGAGAAAACCTCGAAAATGCCCATGCAGCCAGCCCTTTCACCTGGATTCGAGCCCAGGTCGAAGCTACCAGAGTTCTAGAATTTTACTTTTCGGCCGTTGGTGGGCCACTTGTATCAAAATTCAAATTTCGCGTTTTGATACTACCAATCTAACCAGGAAAATTTTTTTCAGTTCATTTTAGTTTCTTTTCCCTTCGTTAAAGTTAAAAATAACTTTTAAAAGTACATTTATTTCAATTACGATTCATAGTAAAGTAGTGAAATGAGTTTACTTCAGCCCGTGCATGTGATTTGCATTTACCTTAACAGGTGAAAGGTCAGTGGGACACATTACAGTATTTAAACTGAAACTCTCAGAGAAAAGTATTTAAAAAAAATATGCTTCAAATATGTTACAGTCACCTCCATCACTGCTGCAATACATTTCATACCGCAGGGGAGGGAAGTATTTTCCAACACTTTTCTTTTTTTCTTAAACAAACAAACAAAACAAAAAAGTTCACTATCCCGAATATTTAACAGTTCTCCCTGAAAGGAGCTTTGTTTAGCTGCGATTATTTATTTGTCTTAATTCTCGAGAGAATTAATATTTCGCTTCTTAAAGTTGCAGTTATCAGAGGTAGCGATCTGAAAGGAATTTTTCGATGATTGCTGCGGTCGCTTTCCAAAGTTTGAATTTTTAGCGCGTGTAGTTTAATTTGTCAGTAAGGACGTGTGGCATATGTCGACGGGTGGCAGCAAAAATCGCGCGGAGGGAAAAGAAAACATAAAAAAAAATATATAACTAACATAAAGATGGCCCTGGTCAGAGTAGACTCCTCATTGGCGGCTGGGAGCAGGGGAGGGGCGGGGCCCCAGCCGACGATTGGCGTGCGCGGCGCGGCGTCGGGGCGTGGCCGGGCGGGCGGACGAGCGAAGTCCGCGGCCGCGGCAGAAACGTGGCTACGGTGTCCTGGCAGCGCTCGCACCGAAATCCTTCTCCGCGTGACCTGGCCGTAAAACTGTGGCCAAACTTCGAAGACGTTCAAAGCCGGGGGGGCAGCGGGGACAACTTCGGCCCCGCTCTCACCGGCTTTCTGTCGTACAGATCGGGGCACCAACTTTGCGGGAGCCCCCCGACCTCGGTGGCCGCCTTCCAGCCCTCCGGTTCGTCCTGCGCCCCGTTTTCGGCCGGCCAGAGTGCCCCATCCAGCGGAATGGCCTACCTCAAGTCGACGCCTTACTCCGTCAACGGCATCGGGCTGCCCTCTCCCGGTGTTGACCTTCTCCACCCCACGGTCGGATATCCGGGTAAGCCGCTTACGGAATTCTTACTTTTCTTCCCCTCCCAATCCCCCCCTCTCCAGGAGCCCAAAAGAATTCTCCGGCTTAGCCGCCGGACCACCAGACGCTAATAAAGCCGATTATCGAGTGACGGATGTTAGCCGCTTAACCGAGAATAATTGTGCTACACCCGTGATCGCCTTCATTGAGAGTTGAGAATTAGGGTAAACACACTGTCTGAGCCCATAACTCTCCCTGAACTTTTTTTTCTTCTGTATTTTTTCAGATCCCTAATAACTTTTAGAGTGGTTACTCTTTGCGAAACATGTAAATCCTCTCTTACCAAAAACACTTCCCTTAGATGAGTTCCAATCATTCACCAGACTTCGTGTGATCACGAACGTCTAGTCATCCGGATTATGATTTCAAAGATTCAGTCTCAGCCACAGTAAGTCAATGTTTTAGCCTTTATCGGCTTTTTTGTCTAGACTACAGCTCTCTATGTCGCCTCAAAACCTCAGCTTAATCAGGAAACTCTTCCTGTCATCGAGTTGTTGACATTACATGCGTTGTCCTCTTCATAGCCATAGATGAGTGGGAGACAGATCTTGAATTGCTATTGAAAAATTCATCTGCGCTAGGTGCAGTGAGCATAATGTTCGATTCAAGAAAAGAATCCAACATGCATTCTGTGACAACACCGCTAAGTTTTTCTAGGTTAATTTCTTTCTTCAAATCACCACTGAAAGCTAGCTTTAATTCTGCAGACACGTTAATTTAACAATAATATCTGGTTAATGCATCAGAAATGTGCTTTCGTCGTATTTCTATCTGCATGTAAACCTGAATCGAATTTTGTTTGTTAAGATTTGTACTCTTTAAAGTCTCTGTCAATGAGTATACACTGCGCGCAATCTGGTGAGTCATATTTATAAAGCATATTCTGACCGAGGATTGGTATTCATCAATTATATTGAATGTTTATGCATTTATAAGTAAAAGTTGTATATATATATATATATAATATATATATATATATTAATATGTCAATATTGTATGCCACTTTTAATGTATCATTTTTTGTATTAATCTCAGGATTTTGGGGGTTTATTAACCAAAATCTTTCAATTCCGATACTAAACTTTTTTTCATATAGCAAATATCCCTTCCCCCTGTTCATATACCATGTGTTTTACTGAAATATAAAATTTTAAAAATGCTCATCTGTGATTAACATGCAGTTTCGCCAGCGTTAAATTGATTATTTATTTTAATGTAAAATGTTTAAAAATAGAAGGCATTTAAAATACCTATAAACTACTGAAAACTGGTTTAATGCAGGAGTAGATAGCTTTTAAAATAAAGCTACTTACTATGCATGTACTCAGAATATGCATGACGACACAGAAATTTAATGTGTTCTTTTCCTAAATTTCAAATATTATTTACTCGTAGTTGCATTTTTGTCGCTGAATTAATTCATGCTGGCAGTTTTAAAAGCAGAACTTGATATAAACAACTGCCAAACATTCAAAGGGCAATGTTTAACAATATAGGAATTATAAGATTCACGTACAGAACATATATTGAAATATGAATATTTTTTGTTTCTTAATAATAGTGTTAATAATAATTTAATAATTATAATACAAACAGAGACTATTACATGTAGTTATACGAGTTATAGCTATCACATGCAATTAACTGTAGTTTTATACGTAAAAATATGGAAACAACCACTAAGAAAAAGAAAGAAAGAATTATAATTACTAGAGTGCTAAAAGAAATGGAGAAGATATTAATATTTAATTTTGTGGTGTATATATTTTTAGGCTATTGTTATTAAGTGGCTAACAAAAGAACGATCAATTTTATCGAAAGGCTTATTTATTCACTCCACGCTTTTAAATGTGTCATTTACTTTCAATGTGATTTTTCTTTTCGAATTCAATGGCAACAATGTCCCGAGTTTGCACTGTTTTTTCCGATATATCTATATATGCATGGAAATATAAATTCTTAATTTGCGAAAGCAGTTCTTGAACAAATTCCAACTATTTTCAGCTTACCGCTATTAATTTAAATGTATTTTTTGTGGGGGCGGCAATTTTAAAGTTATCTTTTACTATTTTAATTCGATTAACAAAAATTAGAATCGTTTAGGACAAAGGTTCTAACTTTGATTTAAATATGCAGTCCATTCGGATGCTAGACGATGAAAACATTAACTGACAACTGCTTTATTCCAGCCATGTTTTCTTATCAATATACAAATAATATAAGCATCCACAAAGATTTAAGATTTTCGAATAAATCTTAGAGTTGTTTGTAAGTAGCCATCCTAACATGTACTTACAGCAGTACATCTTACTGTAAATAACACCGCGAAGGTTAAATGGTATTCCATATATTGATGTAATGTAGTTTCAGACTTTAATTCAAGGTTTCCCTCTAAGATAAACATATATTAAAAATTATTAATTATTTTATGCTAGTTTGCCCATACTGTTTAGAACAATATTGAATAGTGCAACCTCTGGTGTTATTTTCGCCTAATTGTTTTGTTCCATACTACCTTAACGAAATTAGCTGTAGCTAATAAAGCATTAAATAGCTGTAAAGCCATTTAATGACGCCGCATGTTTTAAACACGAGAACAGAGCCCATAAATAACTACGCAAACATTTGCTCACCGTGCTTTCTGACTTTGTATGCAAATGTTTATGTTCATTACAATATACACAACACAGATCAAATCTACAAATACACTTTTACTCTCATGGCGTATTATTACTAATTTAAAAGCTTAATCTTCCCTTTCGCAATGAATCATTGCAGATCTACATCAAACGAAAGAAATTATTATTCACCTCAAGCGTGAAAGCAGGCCTTTCAGTGTGCAGCTGAAATTACAAGGACATGGATGTATTTTTATTTTCATTCTGATTTTGTAGATAAATGTAATGACACCTGTGTGACTAGTAAAGTCCATATCAGATTCGTTCTTGCACTTTGCTGACTAAATCTTCCTTTACCTTACCAAATGATAGCCGCTCAGGTGTTACTGTGCTAATACGATAGAGTGACTTTGTTTGCCAAAGGACATTAATAAAAGTATGTCAGAGAAAAGTTTAACCGTCTAGGAAAGTGAATCCATAACTATGCTTAAGGATGAAATCGATAGTAATCTGTAGCACATGCAATTCATTATTTATAACTATAAAATGTGAATGCACCTTAAGGTAAAATTACAGTTGATTCGAATTTTAAAAAATCCAATTAATTTAATAGCACTTCGTAAACAGAAATCTCAGGGAATACATAACAATATTAATTGTGCCAATGCAAGCTGCGTTACCAGCAAAATGAAGAACAAGTTCAACAAACGCATAAACTAATACAGCGGGTTCTCTTCCTCCCCCCTCCAATTCACTGCTAGTTTTTAACTGTCTCTCGTGAATTACTCGTAGGTGTACCTTGGAAGCCGGCCATCCTCTTGGCATACCCTAGACTTTAAAATTCTCCACCTCAGACCACCCACGTCTTTCTACTAAGATATTAAAACTTTTAACAGCAATCTCGGTCTAAGGATCGCATTTATCCATCGGGACTTTCTTGTCTCATGGTGAGCGTCTCTCTAGCTATGTGAAATTTTACAAAACAAAATTTCCTTTAGAGAGCTTAAGAATGCTCATCAGATCCTAACACAACAGCAGTCAAGTGACATGGGATGTCACATGAAATAGTGGCAGGACTATCTTTTAATATAATCTTTCTGTCTGGTGTTCTGCGCTATAAGAACAAAAGAGTAGTCTTCAGATGTTGAAAAGTAAACTAGTGGGAAGATGGTATAAGAGTAGAAACTTAATTTTTTTTGTGAGAAGTCTTAAACGGGTTTGGTAAAACTGAAGTGAACAAACTCATGTTGCTCCTTGTTTGCCGAAATTCGTTGTATGGCCGTGTTCCAATATCTCGTAAGTGCACATCCATTCTTGAACCTATAGAAGCTGTTTGTACAGGTAGGATTGCTATCAGAAAAAATAAAATAAAATAAAATTATGAAAAACCTTTTTTTTTAGTTCATTCAGGAATTTCATTTTTAAGATCTCAAGAGGAGGTACTGTAAGCAGATCCGGTAATATATTTTTTTTAAGTGAATAACTGTTTGGTGAAGCATTTTTACCATTTTTTTTTTTCGTAAGAAAAACTGCAATGATAATATTTATTTCTTAAGATTTTGTGAAATAGTTGTGTAATGATCCAGCTTCTTCCTCCCCTTAAATGAACAGCACTATTATATCTTCAATGACAAGGATAACTGAACATTTTAATCTCCATTCGAAAATTCTATATGCCTATTCTATTCTATTCAATAAATAATTCAATAAATTCTATATGCCTATTCTATATATTCTATCATATGGAATATAATTCTATATTCTATATGATATTATATATATTTTTAAGTAGTTCATATTACTTTCTAATAAATGATTTTGCTTAGATAATTATATTCTTATCCAAACGTTGCGCCTACATCTCCGTTGCAGTTAAATTTTACCTAAATCTGCTAATCTATTACTACAGCGTATTTACTTATGCAAGAAGCAAGCTAACAATTATACATGAAAAGTGTTTTCGACATTCATTAGAGACTAATACATTAACAGAAATTAGAAAAAAAGTGGTTGGTAAAAATCTAATGACTTTTTTTTTTTTTTTCCTAAGTGTGCTTTTGTTACCTTGGCAAACTCATGCAGTGAATGCTTTGTGGGAGATCATATTACTCTCCAAAAGTAAACAGTTCTTTATTTTTTTATTTATTTCTAGTTTATATTCAATGCAATGTATGAACATTGTCAGTAATTTCATCAATATCGAGTTAAATACTTTTTTCACAAACATTATTCTTACAACAATAATCTGAAAATTGCACATACTGTAATTATCGCTACAGAACCTATGTAATGAATGCTTTAAGAGCATTCTATATCTTCGGACAAATATTTGAAATGGATTATTACAAC